TTAAAGGTTAAGACACAGAGTGTCTTTTGTCTGTCATTCTTCAGACATTACAGTAGACATATTTTGGTTTTCAAACTGTATTGTTTCATCAGTCCCGTTAGCACTCGGCTAATGTATCCACCATTATTGTTTTGATAGTGTTTACAGTTTAACAGCTAAACTTTAGCTGTGGGCACGATTCACTTGCATAAGTGTTAAACAAAATGTTTTTATGTCATTATTTTAAGAACTGATTGGAGCACTATACTATTGTTTTACGTAAAGGTGCATGCTAGTCTTGCCAGGTTGTCACAACAAAACCCTCCCAATTGCTACACAAAACTAGCCCAATCGTGTTTCGAGGGTGGTCCCCCTTTAAAAATCGTGTTCTGGGGTGTAAAATACACACTTTCAGTCGGGGTTCCCCTGGTAAATTTGCATTCTAGTGCCTAAATATGACGTTATTGGGATCGCTACAACCCGTGACATCAAAAACAACCGCGGACTTGGCAACATGGATGGTAGCTCTCGCTAACTTGCTCAAGCACTCCTCTTTGTGCCAATCACAACAGGCTTGGCCAGCTGACCAATCAGAGCAGACTAGGCTTATGGAAGGGAGGGGTTTACAGACATTTCACTCAGAACTGAATCGAACGAACCGTTTCGAAATCATGGACAAATGACTATGTATAAATGTATATTCTGGGAAAATTACAGTGTTTTCTGACCTTAGATGCATTTAAACCTGTTGTAGGGGACTCCAACACAATATTAGGACACTTAAAAAAAAAAAACGTATGACCTGCTCTTTAATGACCTTTTTTTTTTCTTACTAATTAGAGGTAGGGGTGTGCGATATTTGATAACGATAACGGTTGATAACGATAATTAAATGATATTTTGCTGACTTATTTTGTGCTGGCACTTTGGCTGGTTTAGGCCTGCCAATGTATAAATGATTATGACACTAAAACTGCCAGTAGGTGGCGGCAAGTACTGTCTTAATGAGTGATTCACTCAATCAAATGATTCATTCAAAATGGCTGATTCATTTAGAAATTAACTGGATCAACAGGATGCGTCCAAAATTGCATACTCTCTTGAGTAGGTACTTATCTGAATAAGTAATTACTTTGCAACTGCAAAAAGAGTATGTTCTCTACAAGTGTGCCACACACGTCCTGAAAAGTGAAGCCAAAACATTTTGGTCACCCCCTGGTGGCTGGCTGCAGTATAGGTTATAAACCCGGTCATGTAAATGAATGGGATGTGAGTCAAACTTAAATCTCTTTTTCCCAAAGATAGTTTGCATCATTTTAGGTAAATCTTATAACGTTGATGTATGTTCAAGTGTTCATTTCTAATAAGTTTTGTTTTAGCTAGTTATTTGACGATATAAAAATGGTGTGGTGTAGGGGTGTGCGACATATCGTCTGCGATAATATCGTAATTGTTGTTTTAACAATGTACGATTTGACATTATCGAGTATTTTGCAAGAACCATTCAAAACACCCCTAAAGAGTGCACACATACATTACGTGAAGTCTAGACTAGTGCGCGTGCGCATTTAGAGTGTTCCTTCACTGCATGATTCAGTCTAATAAAATACATTTAGAATTATCACAAATTCAAGACATGGAGGCAGAAAATGTATATATTTATACCACTTCATATAGTTCATAAATTTCACACGAAGAGTGCATTTTTTTTCCTCCAAATACTACCATTACATGTGATATTGATTTTTTACAAGTTCAATAAACAAGAATTTAATTAAGAGACTTACGTTTTAGGCAGCATATTTCCTGGTTTTGCGTCTCCAAGCAACATGACGGTGTTTTGTTCCTGAATGAATGATTCGGTTCAATCGCAATGACTCACTTATTAACAGTGACTTGCTGCCACCTACTGGCGGTTTTAATTTCACATTTAAAGTATCTTTTTTATTATTTAAATAGTTCCAAATATCCGTATTCAACGTTTTGTTTAATATATCATTTGTTTAATATATCATTCATGTTTTGCATTAAACAGTGTGTAAAGACATCCAAATGCCACTTAAGATGCAGCTTCTGTGTTTTCTCTGCATTGCAAAGATTCATTTAGTTGATACCGATTTCATAATACACTGATTAAATGTAAGAATCTGACTAATGGACACTTTTAGAAAAAAATGGCTTTATAAAGGTAAAAATGTCCATAAAATGTAATAATCAATTATTTCAATAATTCCTTATTGGAAAAGATGCATTTCTATCAGTGTGAACTGACCACCACACAGAATATGAAGAATATCAAAAACTTTAGGAGTCAGCTGTCCTCGGCCAGCACAATAACACACTCAGCAAAATATTGTCTAATTATCGTTATCGATAAAATCCCAGAAAATATTGAGATATAATTTTTTGTCAATATCGCACACCCCTAGTGTGGTGTCATGATTGTGAGCTTGCGTTTGGGTCTGTGGGAGTTTGGGCGGGACTTTGATACCGCAGATCCACCTCACGATCACTACTACGCAGACTTGGGCTCCAAATGAATCACTACTGCGCAGAGTCGGGCTCCAATGAATCACTACTGCGCAGAGTCGGGCTCCAATGAATCACTACTTGCGCAGAGTCGGGCTCCAAATTAATCACTACTGCGCAGAGTCGGGCTCCAAATGAATCACTACTGCGCAGAGTCGGGCTCCAAATGAATCACTACTGCACAGAGTCGGGCTCCAAATGAATCACTACTGTGCAGAGTCGGGCTCCAAATGAATCACTACTGCGCAGAGTTGGGCTCCAAATGACGTCATTTTCGCAAGATGACAGTGTCCATACTGGGATGTTTTAGCCTCACTTTTTTAGTGGAAGGAAGTGGAGATGTGTCGCCCCAAAATCAGATTCATTCAGGAATGAAACACTACAGTGTTGCCATGAGACACACAAATGTTCTGCTCCAGCTTTGTTTGTAACTATTTTTGTTTTGATTATTTTAATTTTTTTTTGCAAATTGAGTGACACTCTATGTCAGCTCACACATCCTTAAAACCAGTGTTGGGAAGGTTACTTTAAAAATTTAATAGGTTACAGATTACAAGTTACCCTAATGTAATGGTAGTGTAACTTTTTTAATTACTTTATTAAAGTAATGTAACGGATTACTTTTCTACATTTCTAATGAATGTTTTCAAAAGTTAGGGTTAACCTGTGCTCAACACTGATTACTGTCAGACTTCAAAATCCTTCATCACTTGAATTAAGATGATAATAATTGAACATCCACCACAAAATCAGACTTTAGTACCGCCTTTTACTTTGAGATTGATCTGAAGTTCAATGCAGATTTAAAATCATAAGAAATAGTTTACTAATACTGTTTTTGAAACTAAACTAAATCTTCGCATAACTACAGGAAACACTGCATCTAACAATGCTTTGGGAAAAAAAACACAAAAAAAACATATCAACTCAAGTATGGTTATCTAATAAGCATGTGTCCTATTCTTTGTACTAAACTCCTGAAATATTGGTGTCTTTTTGAAACATTGGTATCTGTTTGTATATGATATGACGACAGTTTTCTCAAAAGAAATTGTAAAATGCTCATGCAGTTCTAGAGATTATATTTACATGTTCATGTACACACACATATATTGAGGTGGCAGAGGCTGAAAACACAGCGAGTGATACACACGCATGCTTCAGTATGTGTAAATGAAAATTAAATTAATTTCCACGAGGGGCGGACTGGGAAAAGGCCAGGCCATCCCATACACCCAAACAAATTCTAAAACTAGGACAACCCTATTTTTTGTATGGCCATCACAAAAAAAATCCTTAGGCTGGGCACATACCAAATTAATTAAAAGTTATCTCCTGTACTCCACATTCACTTCCATTTGAATTTTCAGTCTCTTTATTTTGCCCTGATATCTCTATGTCTATCACATGACTTTAATAGCCTACTCAAGATTTAACAAAACTATTCTTTCTAAATTGCTTACATGTCAAAATTAGTACAATAATAACTAGGCTACATCATTACAATATCTTTATAGAAAAATCCTAATACTGAAAAGGAGTAATTTTTTCCTTTACAAAAATTAACCATAATTTTATTATAGTAAAAGTACAGTAACCATGTTTTTTTTTGGCAAATTGATTACCATTTGTATTTATTTTTACTACACATTCCATTGTTAAACTATGGATAGTGTAACAAAAACCATGATTAATCTGTGGTTACCATGGTTTAACAATAGGCTAACCATTGTCTTTGGATTTATAGTAAAATTATCGTTAGTTGTCTGCCCTATCTCCCCCTAAACCTATTATAAAACTATATGATTATTTGTCTGCTAAATTACTACTGTAACTTTACAATATAGCCTAATAATGATGTCCTTTAGGCTAGTATCTGTATATTGAGTGATTACTATTTAGCAATGGGCTGCTATTGCTTAAAGACAGAACTACAATAGCATATTTACAGATTAATCTGACCTGCACTTGAAATCCTGAACAGTAGTTTTGCTTCTCTGCTCCACCTGTGCGCTTCCACAGTCCAATCCGTTCTCAAATCTCTCGCATTGATTACTCTGATCAAAACCATTTTCAAGTGTACTGACCTACTTTGGATTTATTCATCCAAAATGTGGCATATTCCTTGACATTCCGCGTTATTGGAGTTCCGTTTTTATGACTGGATTCTACGAACCACTCCGTGTTTTAACCATTGCAGCCGTATGTCTCATATTTTAGAGTAGTCAATTTGGGAAAGAAATCAATTAAATCTGAATGTGGACACATGTAAATATTCAAATGTAACCCCCTTTGTAATCATTAACATTTTCATAAGTAACATTTTTTCTTAGTAACTGTAACTGATTACAGTTACATTTATTTGGTAATTAAATTGCGTAACGCCGTTACATGTAACTAGTTACTCCCCAACACTGATTAAAACAACAATTGTGATATTATCGCACATGATAAATATCGCACACCCCTAATTATGTGATTTGATGGATTCACATAGACATTCAAACTGACACTCAGTAGCTACGCATGTAAGAAAAGATGAATGTTTACCTTGCCATTACTGAAAAAGCGCTTGCTGAAGACATACTGAAATCCTTCAGGGCCTGCCTGAGCTCCTACAGGAGATTCAGATTTGGTCAACTCAGCTTTGGGTTTGGCTGGGATAGACGCTGCTTCCTCTGGATCAGCCACATCAGACCCTACATCACTCATTTCCCGCTCAAACGGGAAGATCTCTTCGCCAGAATGATCACATCCAGATCCATTGAGCTCTATGTCATCATCTTCATCCTATAAATTATCATTTGTTATTTTTAACTAATGCAAAAGCTAACTAATGTTTCTCCACTATTTTACAAAACCATATAGCTGAAACAACACTCCAAAGTACTAATCATTATATGTGTCTTATTTTAACTGGAAAACATCCAAGTTGCTTAAAAAATTAGCACTTGAGCAGCTTGAACAGATCATGAAGAATCAATTTCCCAGGTCTAAACATACTGGAAAATGGGTAATTAATTTTTATTTTAAGCTTTGGTAATCTTGCTATGTGCTTTTGAGATTTATTTATTTATTGGTTAATATTTCTATTTAGCGTTATTTTTATTTTAGTTTTAGACATGTTAGTACTTAAGTTTTATTTCAGTTAGTTGGCAAGGCAAGATTTTAAGTTTAACTATTTTATTTATTAAAATACATAAACTTAACTAAAAAAACAATGCTGAATTTTACTGTAATGAATTTGAACAGACATAGTTTGTTAATCCCAAATGTTGCTAAATTTAACCGTATGATGAAAAAAAAGGTTTTAGTAGTTTTGCTATGTGTTTTTATCTTTTTATTAGTTCTGTGTTTTTAAATATATTTATTTTTAATATATTTATTTTTTCATTTCGATTTTAGTAAATTTGTTCATTTTATTTCAATTTGTTGTTAAGTTTAAAGTTTTTCATCTAAAAATTATATTTTGTTATTTCAGCTTTATTTCAATGAACAAAAATTATTTTTAATGGTTTTAGTTAAAACCTTCAGAAAACCAAATCATTTTAATTTTAGTCTTTAGTAGTTTTGCTGTCTTTTTATTTTATTATTATTATTTTTTTTTAAGTAATTTAGGTACTTCAGTTGTATTTCAGTTAGTTGCCAAGGCAAGGTTTTTTAATTTTTCATCTAGTATTTATATTTTATTTTATTTTTAATGAACAAAAATGACTTTTAATGGTTTTAGTAGGGGCGTGCCGGTACGAGTATCAGTACCGAACAGTTCACGGGCAAATTCCAAATGGAAGTGATCATCCCTATCCCCTTGGAGTGGGGACTTTGGAGTGAGCAGGGCACATGCCTGCCATTATGGCTGCGTTCCAGTCCATTTTTTTATGCCCTTCACTCGCAAACTTCCCTCCGTCTCGTTTACTCGGATGTACGTCATTGATTACGTTGCATGAGTGCCCACTTCTGGCAGAACCCTTGGAATGGGCTGAACTGGAACGTCCTAAGCCCTTGATCACTTAGAATCAGCTATGGGGTTGGTTTATTGTTTACATTTTTTCCCTTATGAATTTGTTTGGTGCAGCATTGCAGAGTTGTTTGGGGTGGGGATAAATTAAATGCGATCAGTGATGACGTCGCAATCGTGTTGCATTGTGGTCTATGGAGCGGCCTGAAGTGTGCATATGAAGCAGACACGCTCCCTCTGTCAAAATCGAGGGGTCGAGGGTCTGTCCATATAAACTTCCCTCGTCCACTTCACGAAGTGGAACGCACTTATGTCATCATCTTCATCCTATAAATTATCATTTGTTATTTTTAACTAATGCAAAAGCTAACTAATGTTTCTCCACTATTTTACAAAACCATATAGCTGAAACAACACTCCAAAGTACTAATCATTATATGTGTCTTATTTTAACTGGAAAACATCCAAGTTGCTTAAAAAATTAGCACTTGAGCAGCTTGAACAGATCATGAAGAATCAATTTCCCAGGTCTAAACATACTGGAAAATGGGTAATTAATTTTTATTTTAAGCTTTGGTAATCTTGCTATGTGCTTTTGAGATTTATTTATTTATTGGTTAATATTTCTATTTAGCGTTATTTTTATTTTAGTTTTAGACATGTTAGTACTTAAGTTTTATTTCAGTTAGTTGGCAAGGCAAGATTTTAAGTTTAACTATTTTATTTATTAAAATACATAAACTTAACTAAAAAAACAATGCTGAATTTTACTGTAATGAATTTGAACAGACATAGTTTGTTAATCCCAAATGTTGCTAAATTTAACCGTATGATGAAAAAAAAGGTTTTAGTAGTTTTGCTATGTGTTTTTATCTTTTTATTAGTTCTGTGTTTTTAAATATATTTATTTTTAATATATTTATTTTTTCATTTCGATTTTAGTAAATTTGTTCATTTTATTTCAATTTGTTGTTAAGTTTAAAGTTTTTCATCTAAAAATTATATTTTGTTATTTCAGCTTTATTTCAATGAACAAAAATTATTTTTAATGGTTTTAGTTAAAACCTTCAGAAAACCAAATCATTTTAATTTTAGTCTTTAGTAGTTTTGCTGTCTTTTTATTTTATTATTATTATTTTTTTTTAAGTAATTTAGGTACTTCAGTTGTATTTCAGTTAGTTGCCAAGGCAAGGTTTTTTAATTTTTCATCTAGTATTTATATTTTATTTTATTTTTAATGAACAAAAATGACTTTTAATGGTTTTAGTAGGGGCGTGCCGGTACGAGTATCAGTACCGAACAGTTCACGGGCAAATTCCAAATGGAAGTGATCATCCCTATCCCCTTGGAGTGGGGACTTTGGAGTGAGCAGGGCACATGCGTGCCATTATGGCTGCGTTCCAGTCCATTTTTTTATGCCCTTCACTCGCAAACTTCCCTCCGTCTCGTTTACTCGGATGTACGTCATTGATTACGTTGCATGAGTGCCCACTTCTGGCAGAACCCTTGGAATGGGCTGAACTGGAACGTCCTAAGCCCTTGATCACTTAGAATCAGCTATGGGGTTGGTTTATTGTTTACATTTTTTCCCTTATGAATTTGTTTGGTGCAGCATTGCAGAGTTGTTTGGGGTGGGGATAAATTAAATGCGATCAGTGATGACGTCGCAATCGTGTTGCATTGTGGTCTATGGAGCGGCCTGAAGTGTGCATATGAAGCAGACACGCTCCCTCTGTCAAAATCGAGGGGTCGAGGGTCTGTCCATATAAACTTCCCTCGTCCACTTCACGAAGTGGAACGCACTTAAAAATGGCAGCGGAGATTCCCCCGAGGGGAAGTGCTTAGGGAAGTCCGTGGGTGCATGTCTAACAGTGGAGTGGAAAACAGCCTATGTAGTCATCTGGAATGCACTTGGCAAAGGGAGCGACATCATTTCCTCATTATCTTCAGCTGGCGTGTTCCCATGACAACGCAGCACGGTGTCCGTCAGCAGATTCGCTGATGGACACCCGCATAAAAAAATATATACATTTTATATTTTAAAAAGTTTTTAAAATATGCTTTATAATATATAAAAACTAATATATATAAAACTTTTTTTTTTGCTGCGTTGTCAGTTGTCACGGGAACATGCCAGCTGAAGATAATGAGGAAATTACATCGCTCCCTTTGCCAAGCGCATTCCAAACGACTACATAATAGCACGCACGTGCCCTGCTCACTCAAAAGTCCCCACTCCAAGGGGATAGGGATGATCACTTCCATTTGAAATTTGCCCCGTAAACTGTTCGGTACCGATACTCGTACCGGCACACCCCTAGGTTTTAGTTAAGACCACCAGAAAACCAAATAATAACGATCAATCCATTCACACCGATCACACACCTCAGTCTCCATGTCAGAGTCAGCTTCTTCCTCCTCGTCCTGCTCCAGCTCAATCATGCAGTCCGAGTCCTCCAGCTCTTCTGCACTATGCGGACTGGATCTCGCATGAGATCTTTCCAAATTCTCAGCTGGCACTTTTGTGCTTCTCTTCACTGAATCAATGTGATTCACAGCATTCACAGATTTGTCAGTTTGACTGTTTGACCTGACTTTCCCTGCTGTGCTTTTTGAAGGAGAAGCAAAATACTTGTAAGTTGTTTTGAGGCAATGCAACATATAGTCAAACATCATCTGACTATTCAACGTCCGAGCCACGTTCCTCTGGATGGCGAAAGGATCTGAAAAGAAAACAAGGATGAATATTGATGCGTTTCATATCTAGGAAGTGTATAAAAAAAATATCACATGATGTCATGCATACCTTCTATTGCAATCCTCTTTTTGGGCCAGTCTTTCAGATCACGCAACAGGTCACTGTTTGTGCGCACGCTAATGACTTTCTCAGGTATTTGAAATTCCAGTGAATAATATCGTAGTAACTCGACCCAAAGCTTCCCTAGCAGTACAGGAGGGCTACGGCCTTTGAAAACCAGTGGACACTATTTAAAATAAGAATACAATCAGGACTACGAACCAATAGGTAAAAATATTGCATTAATTTTGTTGACTTTCTTTTGGCATCAAAGTTGTCTTCAAATTAAAGCCTGTGATATACAGATCAGGAATAAGTGGGAAGGTACTCACCTTTCCCTTCTTGACAGCTTTGTCTTTATCTTGGGAGGAATCATTTGAGGTTTGATCATAGACCCAAAGCACATGTCCTTTCTCAACTCCAATTAAGGAGAAACTCTTCAGTTTACTCATGGGCAAACCCTAAAACAGAACACAATATCAGTCTCTGCATATTACTGTAGGCTGTTTCAAAGATCAAACGTAAATTAAACTCCCTCACAACGAAAACCAGTTCTTACAGGAGTTTGCACAATAGACGTTGGGGATAAGTTTTCTATTACGTTTCTAAGTAGTCTAATTTAAAGTGATACTTCACCCAAAAATTAAGATTTGTTGTTAATTTACTCACTCTCAGGCCATCCAAGACGCAGTTGACATTTTTTTTTCTTGAGTAGAACAGTAAAAAAGATTTTTAGCTGAAACAGTGGTCCTTGTTGATTCATAAAAGTCAATGGCTACGGGTTTTTGAATATAAAAATATCATATCAGAGAACACAAAATTAATACCCATGGCTTTGATGAAATATTGAGGCCTTATGAAGCGAAACAATTTGTCTGTGCAAGAATCTGAACATTATTTACAACATTATTAACTGTAATTCAGAACCTCAGGTAAACCAGGAAATCCGATTCTTTTTCAGAAACTGGTTCTTTCCGACAGTTTGTTTCAATGAAATGGTTCAGTTCACCAGTTAATTTACTTAATCAGCTTGGAGAAAATCAACAGCAGTTCAGAGTATGAAAAGACAATACAGAAAAGCTGAGCGAATGTGGCGGAAGACGAAACTTGAAATTCACTATAGCATCTATAAAGACAGCCTTCGTGCTTTCAATGTGGAACTAGGCAAAGCTAGACAGTCATTCTTCTCAAACCTTATAAACAGTAACTTAAACATCACTTGCACTCTTTTCGCTACTGTTGAGAGACTTACAACCCCCCCCCAGTAAGATTGCCAGTGAAATGCAATGAGTTTGCTTCCTTCTTTTCTGAGAACATCAATAATATATTTAGTTATATATTGATTTTAAAGTACTTTTACTCGTTTATATATCACTCAACGGCCTAGGACCTAAATACATAGCAGGTATGTTCACTGATTATAAACCTAACAGACCACTCAGATCATTAGGATCGAGTAGTGAAAAATACCAAGGGTTCACACAAAACAAGGGGAGTACGCTTTTAGTTATTATGCCGCCTGCAGTTGGAATCAGCTTCCAGAAGAGATCAGATGTGCTAAAACATTAGTCACATTTAAATGCAGACTCAAAACTCATCTGTTTAGCTGTGCATTTACTGAATTAGCACAGTGCAATGTCCGAATTGATTGCACTATATTTTATGTATAACCATTTTCTATTCTTAACTGTTTTAAATTCATTTTAAACCTCTTAAATCAATTTTTAAATCATTTTCAAAATTCTAAATTCCTTGTTTTATTGTTGTGATTATTATTTTTTTCATTTCTTTTATGTAAAGCACTTTGAATTACCATTGTGTATGAAATGTGCTATATAAATAAACTTGCCTTGCCTTCATCACGCAATGACAATGTATACGCAAATATATTCTTAAAAGCACCAGTCTAAAGCATATAAAGTGAATAAAATTCTTAAACTCACCTTTTCACATAAGCAATGAAACCATATAAACTTTAATTCACGCATGCGCATATCGGTCTTCGGTCCGAGTCGAACTGTTTTCTCAGTTCAGTGACTGTTGGAGGAACTGGAGCGCTGAATGAGTTCATTCATCATAGAAACAGATACGCTGGTGTTTTGGCTCATTTCGAGTCAGACTGATTTTGAGGCGTCCGAAAGTGAGTTTTGATTGAGTAACTTGTAGATCTGTGTTGTTCAAACCATAAACTGTTTCAGACAGTTCAGCCAGATTTGGTGAACTGGTTCAACTAGTTCACCAAAAAGAACCATTTCAAAAGAATGATTCGTTCACGAACCGGACATCACTCTGGACCGTGTGCCTGAGGCTCTGGATTACAGGTAATAATGTTGTAAATAATATTTAGTATCTTGCACAGACTGATCATTTCGCTTCATCAGACCTGCATATACCGTCAGGAGCCACAGGTATTAATTTTGTGTTCCTTGATGTGCTTTTTTTTTAATTCTCAAAAAAACGGGCAGTCGCTGATTTGCATTTTATGAATAAATAAGGACCACGGTTTCAGCTAAAAATCTTCTTTACTGTTCTACCGGACAAAAAAAAGTCACCTACTTTCTGGATGGTTTGAGGGCGGTTAAATGAACCACGAATTTTCAATTTTGAGTGAAATATCCTTTGAAGTTTTGTCTCTCATGGGTGAACTCTTCATGGAAGTAAATGCTATACTGTTGTTTATTACATAGCTCTCTGAAATACTTGCATTTGGGTCCTGATCACCGTGTTGGGTTTTATTTTGCAATAATGACCGGCTGACTGCACATGGTCTCATTTTACCTCTTCATAAGGGTTCAGGATGCGATAATCAGGCTCTGGTCCTATAAACTTTTATCAGTTGATGTATTAATGTTGAAACACACACCACAGATTCTAGGTATGAAGGTAAGATGGGTTCTTTGCATCGCTGCAGGAAGCTGATGACCATGAGAGCAAAGCAGTAGGATGGAAGTCCACCTTCTTCCATCTGGTCCACACAACAAACCTAATTCACACACACAAAAAACATCACATATCATGAATGTTAATAAGCATAAAGAAACCCTATAGAGAGACTACTACTTTTTTTTACCTAAAAAACTATCTACTGAAAATAATGGAAGTGTACATGTCAGTCTCACCTTAGCCCAGTATCTAAAGCATACGACCAGCGGAGCAAGTTGTGGTTCTAGATTCGCCAGCTCAGCCAAATATGCTGTTGTCAAGCATGCGCTTTCATTGCCTGCACTGACTTTGCAGATCAGACCACTTAATAGATACAAAAAACAGTAAATAAATAAAACCACATACAATTTTTCACTACAGTCAAAAAGTTTGGGATGAGTAAGATGTTTTAATGTTTTTGAAAGAAGTTTGTTCTGCTCACCAAGGCTGCATTACTTAAAACTTCATACTTAAAGTCCGCGTGAACCGGAAGTTGCTGCCGACTTTATTTCAGTGTAGTGACGTATTTCCAGCTGAAACGGAATATTGAATAGAGGGCATGGTTTTATGCTTGCGCTCCTCCTCTCTGTCTCTCTCATAGCAATCTAACGGTTGGAGGGGTGTGTTTAAGGATATTCTGCCCAAGCCGTCAAACTGACGTCATCAGAAAAGGAATGCCATTCCAGAGCGGAAGTAAATGTTCAGATTTTGATTAAAGATTACGAAGAAAAAAATTTTTTTTCAGCGGATTAACTTGCACAGATTAATTGTTTACATCAAGACTAGCAATGTGCACTAGTAAAGTAAAGAAAGTCAATTTTGATTTCATGCGGACTTTAAAAATACAGTAAAAACAGTAATATTGTGAAATACTATTACAATTTAAAATAGTTTAAATACATTTAATAATGCATTTTATTCCTGTGATGTTATTATCCATGTTGAAATCACTTGTGCTGATTCATATTTTTGTAGAATCCATGATACATTTTTTTTCAGGATTCTTTGATGAATTCATGAAATTTATTTAAAGCTGCAGTCCATAACTTTTGGCGCTCTAGCGGTTAATAAACAGAACTGTGTGCGTCTTGCGGAAGAACATTGTAGCCACTAGCCAGAGCTACTTCTCTCTGTTTATGTCTATGACGATTCACGCAGGTACTGGGCTACAAACACTTATTATAGGTGTAATGTAGTGATTCAGGATAAGCCAAAAAATAATAAAGCCATGATGTACTCGCTTATTATATTAATTTTGTACATTTTGAACATAAAAAAGGTACGGACTGCAGCTTTAAAATAGAAATCTTTTGTAACATTCTAAATGTCTTTATTCACAGTTTTGATCAATTTAACGCATCCTTGCTGAGTAAAAGTTAACAAAATATAAAAATATCTTACTGACCCCAAACATTTACAAGGTAAATTATACACACATTTAAAAGCAGGTAACTTCATATATAAACTTTGTAAAAGAATAATAAGCAAGGAAACACAGACCTAGTTTTCTCTTTGCACACAACTACAGGCATCCTCCTATAGAAGTCACCCTCGACGCTGACAAAAAGAGCTGCAAAAATGAAACCGATAATAAAAATTGTATTCTATATTGATGGTGCTTTATTCTGAATGCTTAAAAAGTATGCTAAACAGGATACATTTATGAAATTACAATAATACTGCTTATCAGCTATAGCAAAAAAAAAGTATCAGTGTGTAGCTCCATACCCTGCTCTTTTTTCACCATAGCCAATTTAAACACTGTTCCTTACTAATGCATTTCTGCAGTCTATGCTTTTTTCACTTTACAATTGTCCATTTCTTTCACTGCTTTTCACTTTTTAACTTACCACTTTTAGAGAGATGCTCTTGAGCCACAAGCAGAACATCAGGATGCTGGAACTGATGAGAAATGTTTTTTTCTTAATTGGAAAACACTTATTGAACAAACTTCAAAATTGTGCATCTTTGTAAAACATGTAATCAAATAACTCTCAAAAAAGTGCAGACGATTTGGGGTTTGTGAAAGGAATCTAATTGGGCTCTCAAACACATATGCCATGGTTTATGTGTTTGCAGTCAAACTGTAATCACAGCAAACTGAGATAATTTGCCTAAACGTCAGTGATAATTAGCAGTTTATCACAGGTTTGAGCCAATATTATATCTCACCTTCCGTGAGGCATAGATCAAGTTGGAGCTAAACTCTGCAGGACACCGGCCCTCCAGTACCCCTGGATTAGATAGATGTTGCTAGCACATTGCTAACTTGATTTAACATTTTGTTATCATGTTTTTAGCATGTTGATAGCATGTTTCTAGCATGATTAACATGTTGCTAGCATGTGTTAGCATGATTTGCATGTTGCTTACATAATTCTAATGTGATTAATTACTGTTAACATGTTGCTAGCATGTTCATAACAACTAGCACCTTTCTAGCATGATTTGCATTTTGCTAGCATGATTAGCATGCTGCTAACATGTTTCTAACATGATTAACAGGTAGTTAACATGTATAGTGTGTTTAACATCTTGCTAATGTAGGGCTCCAGACTGCGACCATTTTTTCTGCCTGTGCGACTAAATTTTCCCATATGTCCCCCGCCCTAATGTTCACGCAAAGAAAGAAGGCATAACCTTATTGTTGCTGCCACTGCCATGTTGTGAAGACGCCGTGTGTTTCATTGCGAAAGCGAAAATACTTTGTTTGGCCTTCCAAAAGAGGACACGACTTGAAATCAGTGGTTAAGTTGTATTTACAACACTGTTCCAGAACAGTTCAACCCAAATATTCAGATGCGTCGAGCGCATTTTATGGAGGACTGTTTCCTGATCCTGGGAGAGTAGACTACAATGCCGGCTGTTCTGACTCTCAGTCTGTAAGTACGTTTTCATATTTAAAGGATTTGCCACTGACGATTCAAATGTGAGCTTTGAGCAGTGTAGAGTAGCGCTTGTTGTTTGTCATTTCTCCGATCACAAATGCAGACATGATTTTATGTTTACGCGGCGCGATGCAATGCAATGCGTAAAAAGACAGTATAAGTCATTATAATCAGTAATTATGTCCCCACTGGATGCAACAAATCCCTCGTTTATAATGGGTTTTAATGTTTTTGTCTCATCGCTCCGGGAGATGGCATCATAGTATGGTAAGAGGTGTAACATTTCCGTCACACGCTTGAGGTATTTGGCCAATCACAATGCACTGGATAGCCAGCCAATCAGAGCACACCTCGCTTTTCAGAATGATGAGCTTTGTAAAAATCGATGAGTTTCAGAAAGGTGGGGCATAGAGGAGAAACAATAATGTACAGTATGTGGAAAATAATGTGTTTTCAACACATTTCATACCACCAAATACACAAAATAATGTTATTTTTAACAACATCATATGACCCCTTTAAGCTTTGCTAGCCCCTCTTTTTCCCAGATATGTCCTCTTTTTGGACCTTAAAAAATGCGTCCGGCCGGGATTTCTAAATCAGCCAAAATGTCCGGGATTCGGCTTTTGCTTTCTACAATGGTATTAGTGTGTATTTTTGAATTAGAGCCATGCGAGGACTGTGTCCAGTCCCACCCACTCCCACAAACATTCTAATATTGCATATAATTTTCACGCATCAGGGGGCGCTATGCGGAGAATATAATCACTTTTGGATGAGCGCTCGCCGCTCACTGTTCACTTTCGCGATCACGTGCGCTCTGTGTAAAAGAAGATCAGATATTTGTCAATGAGCTCAGGATCTGTTTAGCAGCAAATCCTCCAGCATGGTCTGTCAGCATCTCTCCTCTCAACCCATGATCAGTTTGACTCCTGCAGCTCGTGTTGGATGCAGGGTTGTCAAGTCTGCTTTTTTTTTTCCTCGATGGAATTGGGCTACTTTTAAACTGTTGCCCTGGCTTGATTTCCCCCCGTGGGGTAAAGTCAGGGCCAGCCCGTCGCATAGGCGAAATAGGCAAATGTTTAAGTGGCGCCCAAATGTGTTAAGTTTTATTTTATTTTTTTATTATTATTAAATAATATTATTATAATTAGGGGTGCACTATATATCGACATATAATCGATATTGCATTATGGCTTAATGCCATAGTCATATCGCAAAGGCTGTGATTAAATTAAATAAAAATAACTATGCGCTGCAGTTTTCAATGTGTTCCAGTGCAGCCCATGACACGCAGCGCTTCACTCTGAAACATGCAGCGCATTTACATATTTGCTGGCAAACCACCAAAATAAAAGCAGTTTAATATTTGAATTTGAGCAGAGATGCACGGACCGTTTTTTTTTTCTTCTCTGTAAATGGCATTAGAAGCCAGAGACGCAAAGAGGAGAAAATACATTATCAGGCAGAGCAAGCTCACTGTTCACGATGAGTGAAGTATGAATGTATCTCTGAGGGGAACTGACTGTCTTAAGAAACAGTTTAGATGGTATTTTCCTTTCATCTTGCCTCTGTATAATGCAATAATAATAATAATGATAACTATGCACACGTTTGTAATGATTGGGAAGGTTGCTGTCACGTCACGTGACAAAAGAACAAACGACTCGAAAGATGAACTAATCAATTCTCTTTCCAGCTCAGACTGCATTGGTTAAGCTTATGGGGCTGTCACGTGATGAACGAACGACTCAAACCCAAAGACTTGTCAGATAAGAGGTGAGGTGAGCTAGCATAGACTAAAGATCCAGGTAAACAATGAATGAATATTTTCTGTTTCTTATAGCATTATATAGTTTTTAGCATTATATAATTATATAGTCTTGTTTGTAGTGTGATCAATGTTTGCGTAAATACGTAGTAGATGTGTTAGGGATCATTTTAATTACATTTTGCTAAAATAAACGAAATGACTCGAAAAAAGATTCTTTCATTTTGCTGAACGAGACTCAAAGATCTGATTCGGTAAAATGATCCGAACTTCCCATCACTAGCATTTAGTGTTTCCAATGCATCACTGCTGTTCCTTAAGCGCCACCTGCTGACAGAGAGTGAATTTGCATTTTCATTCAGCCCATCGGCTGTTTGGTATGTTTTATGTAGCCTAATTTCACAAAGCTAAAGTCAAACCATTCTGTTTTTGCTTCAGGTTTTGAAATTATACGGTCTAATTTAGATCAAAATATAATGAAGCAACTAACCATATTCTTCCTACTCATATTTTCATTCTTTCTTGTCTTTTGCTTAAATAAAATACATGAAAAATCAGTATTGGATTCTGCCATGAAAAGTTAAGATCAGTGCAACCCTAAATTTATGAAAGTCTGAAATTAAGAAATTAAGACTTAAATGTTAATATTGTAGCTGCCTTTGGACGATAAAGTTCTCTAATTTAAAAAGCTAGTTGAGTTAATGTCAGTTTATTTATTTATTTTTTGTGCAACCTTCTTATTTATATGTAATTTGTTTTATATCATAAAGCTATGCAGCTATTCTGTGTGAATGAACGGTAGTGAAATTGGCTGCGATGCAAGGGGCACCAGCTAAAATCTTGCCTGGGGCACCAAATTGGTCAGGGCTGGCCCTGGTTAAAGGTTTGAAATGTTGCATAAATTACATTTGACTGAAATGCTTGTATTGAAACATTTGCATTCTACCTATGATAAAACTGTGCTAAATATTATGTTTTGTGAAGAAGGGCCACTGGTAGGAAGCTTTTTAGCTGTGTTTATGCAATAAACAAAAGTTTTATCAATATGCATAACAGTGACTGTAAAATATGTATATTAGGTATGGAAATGACATATTTTGAGTTTTGATATTTGAGATTGTGCTACTTTGGGCGCTTTTGGCATTACTTTAACCACCAACCACACCCCAGCCCCCGCCCCGCACCCACTGTCCTCTTTTTGGAAAACTAAAATATGGTCACCCTACTTTATCCCCTGGTTTCACAGACTAGGCTTAAGCCTGAACCCAAACTAAAATGCATGTCTGAGACATTTTAACTGACCAAAAAAAACTTGCACTTACATATCTTAAAATGTGTCATTGATTTGCCTCAGATGCACACAGTAATGTTTTTTTTTCTAAGGCATGTTTACAAAAGCTACTTAAATGTGCTAATTGAACAATGGCCTAATTCTGGCTTAATCTAAGCCTTGTCTGTGAAACCAGGCCTATAAGTCTTATTGTACAAAAGTTTTGACCCCTTCAGTGAAAGTCTATTGGTCTATAGTCTTTTTCGTCTTCTGAGACTAAATTTTAACATGTCTCCCAGAGTTTTCATGCTACACCCACCAAACTCAGTTCAGACCTTCAGACTGTATTTTCATAAAACAGTTGATCAAAACTACAGTAAATCAGAAGGTCAGTTGGCTTTCTCAAGCCAACCTAAAAAATATAAATATAAAAGCATTTACTTATATCAAACTCATAGGCCAAAATAGCATATATTAAAATGTAAACTGTGACAATATTTGTGATAAGCACTTTCTACTCACATGGGATGGAAACTTTACATCAATGTTTACATCAGAGTCTCTGAAGCCAAACTTGGTGCAGGAAGATCCATATAATCTGAACTGGCAACCTGCAGGGGAAACGAGAATACAGCGGTATTGAAAAAGCATTGAATAAAGGATTCAGTGAGCTTTGAATGTACCGCTGTGCTGTTACACACCTGGAAGGACAGGCTGAAGGACTTTCTCAACGAGAGTGAGGACGTTTTGCCGTTGTTTCAAATCCTGATCGTTTAAACCGAACTCAGCGATCACACTTTCCAGAGCCAAGCTGATTGAATGACACTGGGGTTTTCCAGGAGGTGGGATGTTCAACAGCAGCGTCAGCTTCTGCAGTTCCTGTAAAGAGGAGACAAATTTCAACTTTAAATGCAAAGCACAAATGTTTGAGTCTACTAACATCTTGATCATAATTTGGTAATATGTGATTCCGTACCTTGGCTTTCTTCCTGTGGGCTCTTTCTCTGATGTGATTGAGCGCTGGTGACATGTCTTCACAGTACACCTTACATTTCTCACATTTGAACTTCAGACAGATGCTTGACTAATAAAAATGCATAAAAAGAACCCAAATCATATTACGTGAAGAAATATGATCAATGTACTATACACTACTGTTCAACTGTTTTGGGTCAGTAAGATTTTTTTTGTGAAAGGAAGTAATACTTTTATTCAGCATTAAATTAATCAAAAGTGACAGTAATAACATTCATAATGTTACAAAACATTTTTGTTTCAAATAAATGCTGTCCTTTTGAACTTTCTATTCACCAAAGAATTCTGATATCAAATGTATCATGGTTTTACTTTTTTTTTTAAACAATTGAAGCAGCACAACTGTTTTCAACACTGATAATAATCAGAAATGTTTCTTGAGCAGCAAATCAGCATATTAGAATGATTTCTGAAGGATCATGTGACATTGAAGGCTGGAGTAATGATGCTGAAAATAACAGTAATACAGCAATAAATTACATTTTACAATATATTTCAATTTTAAATTGTAATAATATTTCACAATATTACTGTTTTTTCTGTACTTTTTTAACAAATGAATGCAGTTTTGGAGAGCAAGACCTTTTACAACAAATTTTCAAACTTCTTACAAAACTTTTTTGAACGGTAGTGTATTTATCTGCTGTATGATATGCAATGGCAACAAATATACAGCACTAATAATTGCAAATATGTAGCACAGTAATACCATGGTGCTCTTTAAAGTACCCTGTAAAGACTATGGTACATTAATATGGTATTCCTTCAGTACCATGGAGTACCTCTTTTTCAAATCGTAACATTTTTCCCAAAATGCTATTTAAACTGCTTAAAGCAATAGTTTGCCCCAAAAAATTAACATTTATTCACCCTTAGGCCATCCAAGATGTAGAGGAGTTTGTTTCTTCATCAGAACAGATTTGGAGAAATGTAGCATTGCATTACTTGCTCACCAATGGATCCTCTGCAGTGAATGGGTGCCGTCAGAATAAGAGCCCAAACAGCTGATAAAAACATCACAATAATCCACAAGTAATCCACACCACTCCAGTCCACCAATTTACATCTTGTGAAGGGAAAAGCTGCATGTTTGTACAAAACAGATACATTATTAAGACATTTTTTACTTCAAACTGTTGCTTCAAGCTAAGATCCAAGTCCTCTATTGATAATATTGCTTTCTACATTTACATTTAGTCATTTAGCAGACACTTTTATCTAAAGCGACTTATAAATGAGGACAATGGAAACAATCAAAATCAACAAAAGAGCAATGATATGCAAGTGCTATAACAAATCTCTGTTAGCTTAACGCAGTACACGTAGCAAGGTTTTTTTTTAATAAAATTATAAAATAAATAAAAAGAAAACAAATAGAATAGAAAAAGAATAGAGCACGCTAGTGTTAGATGCCTTTTTTGCTTTTGTTAATTGTATAATAAATAAAAAGAAAACAAATAGAATAGAAAAAGAATAGAGCACGCTAGTGTTAGATGCCTTTTTTGCTTTTGTTAATTGTATAATAAATAAAAAGAAAACAAATAGAATAGAAAAAGAATAGAGCACGCTAGTGTTAGATGCCTTTTTTGCTTTTGTTAATTGTATAATAAATAAAAAGAAAACAAATAGAATAGAAAAAGAATAGAGCACGCTAGTGTTAGATGCCTTTTTTGCTTTTGTTAATTGTATAATAAATAAAAAGAAAACAAATAGATAGAATACAAAAAGATTAGAAAAGCTAGTGTTAGTTCGTTTTTTTGGGTTTTTTTTAAGAAAACAAGCAGTAAATGAATAGAGTGCAAGTCTAAAAGGGACAAGTTTTTTTTTTAAAGAACAGAATTAGAATAGAGAGTGCTAGAGTTAGAGGGTCAAATAAAGATGGAAGAGATGTGTTTTTAGCCGATTCTTGAAGATGGCTAAGGATTCAGCTGCTCAGATGGAATTTGAAGGGAACACAATATGTTAACTGATGTACTGGAGTGGTGTGGATTACTTGTGGATTATTGTTATGTTTTTATCAGCTGTTTGGACTCATTCTGACGGCACCCATTCACTGCAGAAAATCCGTTGCTGAGCAAGTGATGCAATGCTACATTTCTCTAAATCTGATGAAGAAACAAACTCATCTACATCTTGGATGTCTTGAGGGTGAGTACTTTTTCAGCCAATTTTCATTTTTGGGTGAACTATTCGAACTATACAAACCTCTTTAGGGTCACAGTCACTGCCTTCTGCTTCCAAGCACAGCTGTAAAACGTCCTGTCTAGTGAGGCAGCTTTCAATCGAGACAATTCTGCTATTCTCCCTCCAGCTCTGCATGCTGTCTGATAGACAGACAAGATGCAGACAGATATTAGCTACATTTTTAATCTCACCGTTTCATTACATGACAGGTTTTAATGCATTTTACCAAGCCTGTCATGTTTCTGTCCATCTCGCTGTCGTTCTCTCCAGTTCCTCCGGTCAGCAGGTGAACCCTTCTGGATTCGGTCCTTGTGAGAAGGACTTTGTCCAAACGCTCGTCCCTCAGGAGAGCTGCATGACTGCGAGGCTTTGGCTCTTCTGTTGTGACCCCGCTTTGTTTTAGGACTGTAACTGCGTTCATGGTTCACACTGTCCTGTCCCAACGGGCTCCTCCAGCTCTCAGCTTCATCTGCTTCCTTCGGTCTCCTGTATCGTGGAGAAAACTTCCTGTTTCCCTTAGCAGCCATTGTCGATCTGGATTAATGGGTGGGAACCAAGATCAATACGAGGAAGAATAAAAACGGAATTTGAAATCTACACAAAACTCAGTCATTTTGATTATGAGGATTGCAAAGTGAAGTGAGGTGATCATATTTGCTGAATGAAATCAGACATTTTGTTTCATACTATTTTTGGGATGCTTACTCCAAAAATTGTTTTGCTCTATAGCACATCACACTTTCTCATAAAATATAATGCATTCTGTAGCAATTTCACTTTCGACAACCATTTGTAAGGTGAAGACATCTTGTATTATCCCCTAATCAGCAGAACTGCCACAAAGACATGATTCCTGTCTTTCCCTGAGAGATTACAACTATTTATTATTTTCACATGTATAAAAAAGAGAAAGTGCTTAATCCACTTTAAGGTTTGAATTATGGGGGGGGGAGCTTATTTGTGCACATGTGTTTTGAGTATTTTAATAAATTATTCTACTCCTTTGTTGATTTTAAGGTAAATTATACATTTTGAATAATTATTTTGTCATTTGACCATTTTTGTTACTTTAAAAAAATGCATTTATATACGTGATGGAAATATTTTTCAACATCATCATCAAATCACGTATTACTGGAGCTTTCAACATTTGTTAAGATGCAGAGCGACGTAATAATCCTTAATATTATCAAGTAATTCATACAAATTCTTTATGAATGCTGTCGTGCCGCCGGTCTGATCATGCAAAGTTTAGTAACATTACTTGAATCTCATATTAGTTCCAAATGACTGAAATTCCCATTTTGCACACATTTTTTAACTGCGGCAGTGTGAATTATTTGTATGGATCAAAGAAAGCGAAACATGTCGCGCAGCATTTATACGTGCTTGTTGTCAAAATAACAACACTGAAGTAAAAAAACGCTGTAACTGCTTTCCCTCGAGAGGACAAAGGGCAGCTCGGAAGGAGTGTCATGCACGAGTCAAAATAACGTTACATGAACAACACCACAACAGCCTAAATAAAGTGAACATGCCGAACTCACCCAATTTAATATCAGCCGTGCTTTATAAATATGAGCGCGACATCCCGTCAAATCTTCCCGTCAACTGTAACATGCAGGTGCCAGAGCATTAACAAGTCCGATACTGACCCAAACTCACTTCCGCTACACTTCAAATGTGTCAAATCAGCTGACGTTCATCTGTATGAAATTATTAAGAGAATAAAACTACCCACGTTGCTCTTAATCAAGCATAAATAAAGAAAAATGGTAATACTTTACTTTTTAAGTGACAAGCTTGACATTTAATATTGAAATCGCCGTCTCATTCGATATGCAGTTGTTTTGATCTTCCACTTCCGGGTCTTACGTGACGTCAAAATAAAAGCTGCTTCTATTGATTTAAAGGGGTCATATGATGCGATTGCAATTTTTCCTTTCTCTTTGGAGTGATACAAGCTCTTGGTGCATAAAAAAGATCTGTAAAGTAGCAAAGACTAAAGTCTCAAATCCGAAGTTATTCTTTATAAAAGTTAAGAGTCAGCCACGCCCTCCTAAAACGGCTCGTTCTAACACGCCCCCACATACCTACCTCACGATGTGGGAAGATTTGCATAACGCCGCCCAAATGTTCACGCAAAGAAAGAAGGTGTAACTTTTATTCTCGCTGTAGTATTGCTGTTGCCGCCGCTGCTATGTCGTGGAGACTCCGTTGTGTTTCGTTGTGAAAGCGAAACTACTTTGTTTTGGCCTTCCAAAAGAGGACACGACTAGAAATCAGTGGTTAAGTTGTATTTACAACACTGTTCCAGAACACTTCAACCCAAACATTCAGATGTGTGCAGCACATTTTATGGAGGACAGTTTCCTGATCCTGGGAGAGGAGACTACAATGCCGGCTGTTCTGACTCACTGACTGTAAGTACGTTTTCGTTTAAAGGATTTGCCACTGATTTAAATGCGAGTTTTGGGCAGTGTAGAGTAGGGCTTGTTGTTTGTCATTTCTCCGATCACAAATGCAGACATGGTTTTATTACGCAGCGCGTAAAAAGACAGTATAAGTCATTATAATCCGTAATTATGTCCCCACTGGATGCAACAAATGCCTCGTTTATAATGGGTTTTCATGTTTTTGAATCATCGCTCCGGCCTGACAGGGCATCATCACAGTAAGGTAAGGGGCGTAATATTTCCATCTCACGCTTGAGGTATTCGGCCAATCACAACACACTGGATAGCTGGCCAATCAGAGCACACCTCACTTTTCAGACCGATGAGCTTTGTAAAAATCGATGCGTTTCAGAAAGGCAGGGCATAGAGGAGAAACAATAATGTACAGTATGTGGAAAATGTGTTTTTTGAACTTTAAACACCTTTCATTACACCAAATAATGTTCTTTTTAGCAACATCATATGACCCCTTTAAAACGGCAGTGCCTATTTCCAGTAGTAAAAAAAAAATTTGATAAAATAAAAAAAAACAAATATCGCTTCTTAAACTTAGTTTAATTTTTTTTCCAGAATACATTTTAAATTTGCAAAAAAAATACAAATTTGCTTGTATCAAAGTATTCGGTCCATTCAGCTACTAATAACATTTATATGAGTAAACCATGGAATGTTTTGGAAAACAATTCAAATACAATTTTACAAGTATTAAGGCACACAACAATTTGAATAAAAGGGTTAGTTTAAAAAAAATTACATAATGACAACCATTTGCTACTGAAATGAAAGAGAATTAGTGTTTTGTTATAGTCCATTCATCTGCTACAACTTATTGCAATACATGCTGCAAATTCATTAGTGTCACTCCAGTTTAAAGGTATAGAAACCACTTTTCAATGCAAGTAAAAACTACTACTTGCAAAAAAGGCTTATAAGCTACTGGTGGTTCTTCAGGAATTCTTCCATATAGGCACCAAGAGCCTTCACGTCTTCAACAGTCACTGCATTGTACAGGGAAGCCCGGATGCCACCCACAGACCTGAAAATGCATAGTGAAACAATCATAAAGCAGGAAACAGAATCTATTCACTGTATAACGTGTATAAAGTAAACTGCTATATCTCAGACAGACCAGCACCGATTTGTTTCTCAAACAATTTGTCCATATTATGTAGAAATTACGTACAAGTAGTTATTAAATGCAGCTATTACAACATTACTCTTCCATTAAAGTCAATGAAAATGTTTTCTGTCAAGCTATGCAAACTACATTAACAATAATTACAAAGACAGACGTAATATTTTCCTAATTTTCATACAACACCTGTGTCCTTTAAGTGAGATCATGCCAAGTTTAGAAGCACCACCAAGAAATGCCTTTTCAAGACTTTCATCCCCTTCCTTCTTTCCGATGCGGAATGGAACGTTCATGCGGCTTCGACACGCCATGTCAACTGGGCATCTGAAAGAGTCCGTAAGGTACGTGATAAATAAGTCATTTTGACAAATACAAGAGATTATAATGTAGACAAATATTGCATTTAGTTCTAGTCGGTTTGACCAAAAATCTGCATCACTTCTGAAGTTTATCCAATTTTTTCCCCCTGATTGTACCTTTATATGAATCAGAACGCATGGAACATTTGCAGAACCACTGCATTTTAAATTACAATCCAAACCAACCATGAGTAGTTTTTGATGTAAATTAGATTGTGTAATTTTAAAATTTAAAGCAAAACCAGAATGGTCTGACTTCAACTTTGTGAAATTATGCTAAATAAAACAACTACACAAAACAAAAACAGCAGATGGACTAAATAAGAACACAAATTCAATCTTTGACAGCAGGTGGCGCTTATGGAACAGCAGCAATACAGCATTCCCTTGGTTACCGCTGTAAACAAAGTAGTTCCCCTCAGAGATACATTCAAATAAACCCCCACCCCCAATTCAGTAGGATTTTAGAATTTGGTATTTGTAGTAAAACTGTGGTTATACAAACGGTAATCAATACGCCATTGGTTACTACACTTTTACTACAACAAAAACGGTTAATTAATAAGGGCTGCTTCTTTTTAAATTTTATTATACCAATAAAGTATTTTTGACTAATTTTTATTATATTTACTTAAAGATTAACATTAAATAATGATTAAAAACTGAATAAGTTCAATGTTGTAATATCGTGTATTATGAATAAACTTCTGTACAAGAAGAATATATTTTATCTGCAAAATTGTGGTCCAGAATGTTAGAAATGTTAGGATGATTACGACAGAATCACTGACGAGTAAAATCCATTGGAGCAGTTGATAATGTCATAGATGATGTCGGATTTCTGTTTGTTTAGTCGTTCCATGGCATCCGCCCCTCCGTTGTTCTTGATCCACTCCAGAACCAAACCCATAATGTAAATACTGCAAGAAAAACAAGCATTTAATATTAATATTGCGGTTTAAAAGAAAAATAGGAGAACACTAAAATTATAAAAGGGTTCCTGGAAAAAAAAACTGAGAAAAGGAGAGTACGGTCTTGTAACATTTTAAGTTTCTCTCTCACATCCCTGTAAGCTGGAAAAGTGATCTACAAACAGCTCTTGAAATTAGCCACGAGGCTGTTTGTTTTAGTAATTATATGAAGATTAAGTGTGTTAGGTAGGCTGCAAACAAAACTATGAAGCCTCATTAAAAGTGGTCAAATTATATATCTGACTGGATGCCATTAAAGCTTCACAATAGAAAACAGTTCAACCATGACAACTCTCGGAGGGTTAAGCATGGTAATGTACATGACAATGTTAATGTGTTTGGTCTTGGCGGAATAGATCTGCTACGCTGCTGCTGTTGTGGGAGCAAGTGCAGAGACATGATACTGCCAATACATCCACAACATGCTACTGTGAGAAATACTGCTGCATATAGGGCTGCACGATTAATCGAATACGATGGTCATGCGCATCTTGTCAGTAAAGCCGGTTCTGTAATCAGTAGTAAATCTCCATCCCGTGCTTTCAGATGAAGCAGCATTTACTACACAGAGCCATACTTCACTGACAAGCTACACAAAATCACGTTCAAAATCACAGGCGATTCACAGTTCTCTTACATTTGAACTATGGCTCTGTGTAGTAAATGCTACTCCATCTGAAAGCACGTGAAAAATACCACATTTAATAACATGTTCTTACGCCAAACTCACTTCATAATGTGGAGTGTTTGAAATTAATCCTTCTGTGAGATGTGGCTTCTTACACAGATAAGCAGTGATAAAGGCTGTCGATTAGCATTTCTTTATTATATACTTTATTATAATAATAATTATAATAAGAACTCCGATAAATCATATATTGTCATAGTCATGTGTTTATTAGTCATGCTGAATCAATGAAATCATCTGTTTATTCAGCAAGGCTATAGGGATTTCCTGGGTTTCTTCTGCGAGGCGTATTTGGAGTTTCAGTGCGAGAGCGCCCTTTGGCCTTCGGATGGAGATTTACTACTGATCACAGAACCGTGCTTCACTGACAAGATGTGCATGACAATCACAGCTTTTGCCTAATCGTGATTGCGATTTCATTACGATTTATCGTACAGCCCTAGCTGCATGTATAATATAGATGGAATAACCCCCATATACAGGTGCATCTGAATAAATTAGAATGTCATGGAAAAGTTCATTTCAGTAATTCAACTCAAATTGTGAAACTTGTGTATTAAATAAATTCAATGCACACAGACTGAAGTAGTTTAAGTCTTTGGTTCTTTTAATTGTGATGATTTTGGCTCACATTTAACAAAAACCCACCAATTCACTATCTCAACAAATTAGAATACTTCATAAGTCCAATTAAAAAACATTTTTAGTGAATTGTTGGCCTTCTGGAAAGTATGTTAATTTACTGTACATGTACTCAATACTTGGTAGGGGCTCCTTTTGCTTTAATTACTGCCTCAATTCGGCGTGGCATGGAGGTGATCAGTTTGTGGCACTGCTGAGGTGGTATGGAAGCCCAGAAATAAATGAACTTTTCCACGACATTCTAATTTATTGAGATGCACCTGTATAGCATACATGAATCACCCCGTAGCAGATCTCTACAGTTGGAGCTGGGGAAGCTGGAGGGTTTCTGAAGTGTGCTGCAACTGCTACAGCAAGCACTAGCCAAGTATTTCAATGTTGAGCAGCAAGCTCATTGGCTGCTGATACAAAAAAGAACCAATCAGCTGCGCCATGTGATAATGATGTCATTATGTCAGATTGAGTTAGACCTATCGGACTGCGCCATCTAGAGTTTCATGACAGAACTTGGACTTATTTTAAATTGTAATAATATTTTTACTGCATTTTTGAGCAAATAAATGCAGCCAGCCTTAGTGAGCATACGAGACTATTCAAAAGTCAAAAATCA